ATCTTACGGACAAGAGGGAGACTGATAAGACCTATGGAAGGAGGACTCCGTAACAATATGGCAGACTGATCCACATTACCAGCACAAGAGTGAAGGGGGGTGAGAGCACCAGTGTGGAATATGGAGGGTTCTTATGAAAGCCGCTTAAAATGGTACACTACACTACATTTAAATAAGCACGGTAAAAATTGTAAAAATGAAGGCGTGATACGAGGATATAGGAAATGTTAATAGCCCAGGGCAGAAGGAGAGATACCACAACTGTTTAGCACACGTTTGGTCAAAGGATCAGCTTCACTTGTCTCTTTGATGAGTTGGAGTGTGGTGTTAGGAATGACAAGACTCACTGACGATGCCGGCGAAACGTCTGGGAATGTACCACGTCCACAGTCCGACTTTGGTAATGACCATGCATACAACGGACTCTGGACTAGGTGCGTATCTCTAAGTCTTCCTGCCAATATGACCAGGTTGCGAAAGCATGGTCAAACAACTCCTAGTAAAGCAGTATACACACACAAATTTTCAGAAACTCTACACAAGAGAAATATGGCTAGCAAGATTGGTCAAAGGACCAAGATCGAGCTACTTTAGTTTGACATGCTGATAATAGAAAGTAAATACTAACAAATGCGAATTGAAGGGGTAATTAACGTCAGCAATATAAGTTAATGCGAAGAGAAACTGGGTTTCGATTAATCTCCTGAGATAAAATTATTGAGGGGACTTTCATTTCGTATAAAAGTTCATGAAGAAGAGATTCGTAGGTCGATCTCACCATAAGAGGACGAATGAATCTCGTTATACTGCAGCCGTTTGGCTTTTATACGACGTTCAGGTTGACTTCAACCTTAAGCAACCTTCAGTTTTGATGTTATGTCTATGTAAACAAACATTCCGGTTCAAGCAGCTATTCAAGCTCTGATACAAACTGTGGAGGAGCATCCAGAGATAAAATAAGGAATAAGGCTGAGTGTAGCTTCTATTATTAGACTTATTAAACTATCCATGAGTGGCACACATTTTACCTTCGATGGTAAGTTATACGAACAAACACAAGGATTAGCGATAGAATCTTGCCTGGCCCCCATCTTGGCGAACAATTATATGACAAGATTGGAGGAACACCTTCTGAAAGATGCAATACTAATCCCGAAATTGTTGGTTAGATACATTGATGACTACTTTGTCATCTGGCCTCATGGAAGGGAAAGCTTAGATAGTTTCCTACTTTCACTCAAACAGCGTGAAAGGAACATTAGGTTCACAATGGAAATGGAAGAGAATAGGTCCTTAACTTTTATGGATGTTCTCATCATTAGAGAAGAGGGTAAGTTAGAAAGATATGTTTATACGAAGCCAATATATGTTGGCTCTGCTTAATTTTCTTTCCAACTATAGTTCCAAGACTAAGGTTGGAATTTTGAAATCAATGATTCGTAGAAGTATGAGGCTAGCGGATAGTAAACATTTGACTAGAGTTGGAATGGCTGACAAATATATTTCTGG